CTAGTGTATTAGTAGCCTAAAAAGACGAATATATAAGGGATAATAAAGTCACCAAATCTAGGTATTATCATACTGCACTAATTTAATAACTAAATTCTCATGTTGTTCGACAAACAAATATTTAAAATTAAATCTCCGAAGCCTATTGTTAAAATTAACATTATGTACACGAATATATTTAAATTACCATTAGTAATATAAACAGGTAACCCGGATTCGTTCACGCTACGAATTTCTGTTAATTTTGAATCACACAAAGCAACAGCATCTATTTTTCACTGGATTATCCTCAATCAACACTATAATTATTTTAACATAATGGTTTCAGGATATCGTCATAAAGCATTGTCATGACTTGACAATCACGTAATATGATTGATAAAGTTGACGAAACTATTAACAAATCGGTCAGCAAATCGACTTATAATTATCATTAAGTAGTGTTGTTTTTCTTTTCATTCACTAAGGATGATTACAGTATGTTTATCAGTTGCTCATTCAGTAAATATCTCAAAACCTTGTCAGTCTAATTGGAGATTTAGCGACACAATCATGCATGCAAATAATCAGTATAAGCAGTCGAGCAAATCTCCTGCAAACTGAAAACATCAATGTCGAATATACCCCAACATTGACTAAAATTCAAGCCATTATCATAGACATGAGTTGGGAGTGTACTCCCCTTGGTTACAACTTATGTTCTCCCTGGTAATCACATGAGCATCACTCGCTGTTAATCATCTTGTAAAAACTTATTTAGACGAACACATCTTGCAGCACCACATCACCTAGAAAGGTGGCACATAGGCTTAACTGATTTCAACAACTTATAATCACTATATCTCAATGAAATAGCATTCCGTCTTATACTAAACTGACACTTGCAACTAACTTGTATGTACCATCAGCCGATAGGTATGAATATAAATAGTCTATGGCAAATCAGAACATTGAGTCTAGAGCATATCTCTAACGGATACACTCATGTTTAACGAATCGCTCTTAGCTATATGTCCAAAATCCACGTAATGATTACTTTTCACGTATTTAAAATTTTTTGATAACAATTCATATGTATTAGTTGTATTACTAAATTCTATCACGGTCAAGTACAAACGAGGTCGAGAAAATCTACCCATATCTAAATAAACCGTATCAAACTAACTGGAACACTAGTTGGAATTCTTCTCCGCGCTTATACTTTTGTTCTTTCAGTTAGTCTACTAATACAAATGCAATTGGAAATGAACGCATGGACAACTTACCGGCACATACGTTATTTGATTTCATAATTTAGACCAAAAATAATACCAGTTTTAACATTTCTACAATATTGTTTTTAATATTTCTAAACAGGAAATGTTATTAACCTACGGCTATTACTAACTATCTTACGGCACTTTATTAAAATATGCTTATACTGAATCATTTTATTATTATAATCCCACTTTGTTTAGCTCAAATAATCTTTATCTAAATTTTCATTTTAAGCGTGTTAAGCATCAAACCAGACACTTTAAAATTATTACGTGTATTTCCCGACCAGATGTTGCCGCCTTCTATTTGATTTATCTTCCAGTTCATCAATACCCGGATGATTCTTATTATTCTTGATAACCTCCGGCGCGCGACAATCCCGCACAATTTGGTATCGAACCAACATATCGTTGATTCTGGTGGGAGAGTAGTGTAGTGGCATTGGGCCCTACCACGAGACAATATGAGAAATAGACATTAAACATTTAACGCGGAGGAATACAGAAGAATGGAGAAGGCGGGGAGAATAAATTGAATCGGTCCGAGTTGATCGGATGGCATGGCTCGGCCTTGCAGGCGTGGTCCCAGCTGAATATTATCTTGTATCTTCTATTCATATTAAATATATTCCATCTCTAGCCTAAGCTTGTTCTCTATCACGTATTGGTAATTGCTACAATGCGATGAATCGGTGTAGACGATGATGTAACTTCCACGTAAGATCTTATAGATTAGGCAGTTACATCACGATAAATCTACAATTTTAGGATTAGGTCTATTATTAGAGCAGTGCTAATATCATAGTAGACCGTAATTCTACAGGTTTCATGTCGTTTAAAGAATGTATTATCGATACTTCCGAGAACCGAAAGGTTCTAGGATGAAGAGGAAATTACAAATATTTTACACAAACTATATCCTCCCAAATAACGAAAGTAGTTGAATAAATTCATTTCAGGATACATACTACTGCAGGATTTCGTATGAACACACAGATACTAGATGACGTAGTTCAATATAGATCACGCTTGAATAGCAAGGAATACCAAATCTCAATCTTTTTCAACCAAAAGCATTTTATTATTTCGGGGATCTATTTACATGTCTTCATTTCAGTTCATTTTAACATTGCATTCTTTGTAACGAAAATTAAAATTTATGTTATTATGTATGGTATATAGCAGAAGAACTGGACAACTGGACAAACAGCAGCACAAAGGTTCAATACAGCCTTCCTTCGAGATACTGACAAACTCAATGAATTCAAGGTAGCTCTCAACAATAGGTTCGAAGCCTTACAGGATCTACTGAAGGAAGAAGAAACTACTATGGAGGATAGCTGGAAAGGCATCAAAGAAACATTAACTTCAACGTGTGAAGAGGTTCTTGGCCCCAAGAAGCATCTTCACAAGGAATGGATCTCTATAGAAACACTGGACAGGATCAAAGAAAGAAAGAACAAGAAGACAGCAATTAACAACAGTCGAACAAGAGCAGAGAAAGTTCAAGCACAAGCTGAGTACATAGAAGCAAACAAGAAAGTGAAGAAGAGCATTAGAGCTGACAAGCAAAAATACGTGGAAGAACAAGCAACGACGGCGGAAAAAGCTGCAAGAGAAGGAAATATGAGACAGCTTCACGATACGACGAAGAAGCTAGCAGGGAAATACAGTAAATCAGAGAGACCAGTCAAAGACAAAGAAGGAAGACCAATCACTGAGATTCAACAACAGCGGAACAGATGGACAGAGTACTTTGAGGAACTCCTGAATAGGCTTGCTCCAATGAATCCACCGGACATCGAAGCAGCACACACAGATCTTCCTATAGATGTCAATCTACCAACGACCGAAGAAATCAGAATAGCCATCAGACAAATCAAGAGCGGGAAAGCAGCAGGACCTGACAATATACCAGCTGAAGCGTTGAAGTCAGACATCGAAGTAAATACAAGCATGCTTCATCTTCTATTCAAGAGGATTTGGGAGAAGGAACAAGTGCCGATGGACTGGAAGGAAAGACACCTCATCAAGATTCCAAAGAAAGGAGATCTGAGCAAGTGTGAAAGTTACAGAGGCATTACACTACTGTCAATACAAGGAAAAGTCTTTAATAGAGTGTTACTGAACAGGATGAAAGACGCAGTAGATGCCCAACTTCGAGATCAACAAGCTGGATTCCGTAAGGACCGGTCGTGCACAGATCAGATTGCGACACTACGGATAATCGTCGAACAATCAATTGAGTGGAACTCGTCACTCTACATCAACTTCATTGATTATGAGAAGGCATTTGACAGTGTAGATAGGAGGACGTTATGGAAACTTCTTCGACACTACGGAGTTCCTGAGAAGATTGTCAACATTATCCGGAACTCATACGATGGACTACAGTGCAAAGTAGTGCATGGAGGACGGCTGACAGATGCATCCCAAGTAAGGACCGGAGTAAGACAAGGCTGTCTACTCTCTCCCTTCCTGTTTCTTCTGGTTGCCGACTGGATTATGAAGATCTCGACATCTGAGGGAAACTACGGCATACGATGTACAGCTCAGAACCAATTAGACGACTTGGACTTCGCAGATGACCTAGCCCTCCTATCACATACACACGAACAAATGCAGATCAAGACAGCCGGCATAGCAGCAGTCTGTGCATCAGTAGGCCTCAACATACACAAAGGGAAAACCAAGGTCCTCAAACACAACACGGAGAACAGCAATCCAATCACTCTTGATGGCGAAACTCTGGAAGATGTAGAATCCTTCAGGTACCTGGGAAGCATCGTCGATAAACAAGGAGGTTCAGATGCAGACGTCAAGGCGAGGATTGGCAAAGCTAGAGCGGCATTCCTTCAACTGAAGAACATATGCGACTCAAAACAACTTTCAACCAATATCAAATTCAGAATCTTCAATACCAACAAGTAGTTGGGACCTGTTTGAAAATACGTTGTATGTATGTAGATTGAAAATGAAGTTTACCAAACGTTTATCCATGTTATTGTCCTTGGGCAACATTATTTGTAAAAGCTAATGATACTAATTGCTTGTTCAAACCAAAGTGGATGAAGTGGGAATGGAACCTGTGAAATAGTATTGTACGGAGCGGAAACTTGGAGAACCACTACAACCATCATCAAAAAGGTACAAGTATTTATAAATAGCTGTCTACGCAAGATACTCAACATCCATTTGCCGGATACTATCAGTAACAGCCTACTTTGGGAGAGAACCAACCAGCTTCCAGCTGAAGATGAAATTAGGAAAAGACGTTGGAAATGGATTGGACATTGAAGTGAGATGTATAAGCCATTTTCTTAACAATTTGTTTGATAGTGTCTGATATCCCTCAGAATTATACATGTTGCACAACTGCTCAGTACATACTGCGGGGAAAGACATACACACTTAAGTCTGTCACTCTCAACGGAGCTAAGGGCGCCAACAAGCATTCTTCAGTCCACTCTATCCAGAGCCTTCCTTTCTAGTTTTTTTCAAATCTTTTCCCCTATTGAATGTCTTGCCCTCAGACATCAGGAAAACCTTGCAATTGAACGGGTTATCAAATAATTGGTTGTATGAAGTGTAGGAATTAAAACAGGTTCGAAAATTTTTTCTTCAGCATTTAATATATGAGAAGTGGAATTGAATTTGTTCGAAATTATGCATTATCGTTCAAGGACAGGCGGCTTTTATAAAAGTCAACTTAAGTAATCGCACACTAGTTTTTGAAATATCCTAATGTCATCGTACCAAGGAAATAAGAAAGATCGGTACGAAATCTTTCGCATTCGTCAAGGCATGAGGCTTAGAAGTAATGATGAGGCATATATCGATTGCAGTAGCAGTCCTATGATCGTGAGTAGTAACCGTTTTGAAAAAATGATTTACAAAGTACGAACAGAAAACAGTCACTCGCTTCGTTTTTTATTTTTTGCATATCAACTGAATTGAACTGAAACGTTTTTATTTGATAACTTGTTCTCCGGAAGTACCAACAATAACCAACTGATTTATTTTCAGTTATGCGTATATTTTTGAAGCGACATGTAGTATTTCAGAACAGTGGGGTGCCGGATTTGAATTACTTAACAAAAGCGGTACATTAGGTTTGTAATATATCAAATGTCAAGAATACATACTCATGCTTAGATTCAGAACTAATTCTTACCTTGAAGAGGGTAATGAATAAGTGTTAAACCCCACGAATATAGATATTTTGAATGTTTTGGAGTGTAAAAGTACTTTATAAGGTAATTTTTACCAGTTCAAATAAACCTTATATGTGCTTACTGTGTCACCACTCTGTGTCTGTTTGAACGTGAGGAAAAATATAATAATCATCATAACTTTTTATCTCAACCATCTTGTCTCTGTCCAAACATTTATGAAAGCGAACGTTTCAGCTAACGCTTTACAACATACCACTCATTTTCTTGTGCGACAACAATTTTTAATAAAACAGTTATTTGTCTTCGGTAAGTTATTCACAAAAACTGTGTCATATCCGTATAGATAATTGAAGAAGTAGTAAGTGGAAAATAATCGTGCTTGCTGCATAAAACTTAGAGAACATTGAAGAAACTCGATACACAGTGTCTCTATCTCTGATGTTGCTAACAATGCTATCTGCTTTAAAGTTACGAGTATAGAACAAACAACATTCATTAAATATAGTGAAGACAATCACAGTATTATATTTAAAGATGATAGATAGTTCTGAAACTTGGTACATGATAATCAATTCTAGATGTGCTAAGTGCATAGTGCACATAGAAAATCCATAGTGGTTTTTTACTTCTAGCTTTTCTGAACTAACTTCATTTTGATGCTTTCTCATAGTGAACCGTGTGCAAAACATTTTACTACATGTTTCTAGATTTGCTACAGATTTTGCCGTAAGTACGTGGTTAAAACAATCAATAAATTGGCCACTCGCTAAACTGTTCAGTTTTAGTTATGGAATATCCGTCATTCCTTCTTACCAATTTATCGAAAGTTCTATATCATTGTAAACTATAATTATTGACCTAAATCTGCACATCGTTACAGGGCAACGTTTGATAATAAGTTTATTGGCATTAATATTATCTTTTATATAGCAATTAAAGACACATAAAGCAACTACACACATCACAAAAATTCACTGTACTTGTTGAAATTCACGGAAAAGTGAAGGTAAATCATTGGAGCATAATTGTACTATAATTGGTTTTAGAACAGATTAAATTGAGCACTAACGGACACCGCTATGAATAAGAAAACTTCATAAAAAAACTAGACTTCTGGAAATACTTTTGAGGAAATTTTGTAAGGGTACATGATGAAGTTATAGTCCTTATACTTGTGGTCGCTTATCTGCTTGTGGATTAAAATTGGAAGAGGTTCACCAACTTTGCAAACTCATTTTGTACAAATATGATGACGCTAAATGGTTTTTCTCATAGTGAGTTTGAGACATAACTAGTAACATTCTTCGTGGTAAAAGTTTAACATGATGTGCTGATAACGATGGACAAACAGCACTTAATGCATCCGAGAAATTACTAGAAATCGGAGTATAGATATTAGTCTGTGTAATTGAACATCATGTTGACTGTGTGTGGTAATAAATGGTTGGAGATAGTCAGCAGAAAGCACTTGATCTGTCTTTAATGCAAGTTGGTACTATTCAGAATGGCGTAAATCTAATGATAGGAGGGCTGATGGTTTCTGTGGGATTCGAAACCAAGCCACTGATCTTCGCAACCTCAGAAGGCATCATAGGCTTAACATCTGTAACACTGATATGTCTCCTTTGATTAGTCATCCGGCAATAATTAGTGTCATGTTTATCTGGTCTTTAGCCATGTTAGAGTTTTGATGACCAGTTTGTCAGTTTACAAAAAATTTGTTATGCTTTCATTAACCTGAAAAAGTCATAATTTTTGACTATTTGTTGTTCTGGGTTAGATTTGTAAACTACTTTGTGTTTAGGTTCGTAAGTATAATTATGTGTAAAATTGTCATAAAAATGTTGTACCTCGTAGATATATTATGTCGAGAAAAACGTATCTTTTCAACACTATAGCTAAGTAAATGACATGTGCTTTATATGAATTCAGCATAATCCATCAGTGTTTAAAAGTTGAAATAGCTTAACAAAATAAGAACCTAATTACACTGTGAAAGAAATGTCCATGAAAACTATGCTGATCCTTAATCAATGACTAACATATCTTAAGTTGTGCTTGTTTTATTTAGTTAATATAATTATGTTTACGTTTTATAGGACGGATTTCAGCACACAATACGGGTTTACAATAACAGAGGAGCAACAGGAAATCAAAGGTTTGCATTTATCAGTTTTCTCTTTTTATACAATTCAAAAGCTGACTGATTCAAATAGCTGAATTCTTATTTAAAATTTTGCAACAATTTCTAAACCTTTCTAGATATATACATTTTGCTTGTAGTTTATTTTTAAGCGTGTAACAATGGTTAGTTGAACCCCATAAATATCAAAGCCGATATTCGTTAGATGAAACCTGCGACAGTAAGGCGTCTTAGATGTGTGACATTTACTGTTGAGATACTGGTTTAGCAACATAACTCGTATTTTAATTTTAATGTATGGTCTTGATAACGTTTGACGAAAAATATAATATAGAGTAAGATTGGAAAACTAGACATTAAGAACGACGATCCAAAAGCATTAGATGTAATACATTTTCTGCTTGCGTTTGTTTGAAAATTTACGCTACAAAAAGTGATTAGATTGCACTTGATTATCGTAGTCATGAGTTAAAAAAACAATTCATTGTGTTAAACCAGTAAGAGCTGTTTATTAGGAGTGAGGGAATAATCTGTATCTAACTGCATATCCATTGTCATTTGTTCTATCGAGATAAACCCATAAGAAAAGCCATTTTTCCTTAACCTTATACTGTTTGAATAATCAGTGTTATTTTGCCAGAAATACCGTTTTATCGTAAAGTATTTAAATGATAATAGAATAAGTTTCTGTCTAAAAAAGAAAACTCATCCTTTAATCATAGAAGGTGATTTACTTTTTTCGAACATAGTTGAAATATAAATTACAAATAGCCTTTATGAAAACGTCCAGGTTAAAGTTCCAATTATAGAGTTCAAAAACAAAGTTATCTGGGAGATATTTTAAAACATTATCAGACTGCAAGCTAATATACTGTTAATGACTATTTAATTCATACCTGCAATTTACGTCAGCGTACTAAGAAAACGTGCGTGTCAAGTTATTTTTATTTGTAGAAACCATCAGAAAGTTAATTCACGATGTTTGTTACAGGAATATAACATTTTAATAGTTCAAGATAAGTTGCAACGATTCCGAGTTATCGTGAAAGTGTATAAATATGCTGTCAGTAGTTTTACCGAGGAAATTCCCGCTGTCGCAGGAAATAAACTCAAAATTGAAAATGTAATTTCTGTTACAATGTGTGCACACACTAAGTTTGTTGTTTAATCCAGGCCAAATCAACGTCCATCTTTCTAAAGGTTTAGTTTAATAAAGCTGGATCATAACCTTTTTTGATTATTTAGTGTATGATTGATAAAGTCACATCTTTCGCCTTTGATTAAAAGTTGAATAAATGCACCTCGAATGGATTTTGGGTAATCACTAAAAAGCGCTCCACTTTATTGTTTAACTGAAATGACATATTATGGAATATTTTGGCATAATAAGTGGCTCCAAAACAGTTAATGTATTTTCTCAAAGAGTTTACATTATGAATATATATACTGTATAAATTCACCACACTTTTACAAACCTGCCTTTAATTGGAATACCATTTTAACCGTCATCACTGCAGAATAATGTGGCAGTTGCTTTTAATGATGAAATACGTTGTATTTTTATTTCTTGTAATGTCATCACAGTTTTGTATATATTTATGTTTTATATGATCATTATATATTCTCCATTCTGGTAAATAAATGCAGAGGAGTCAATCCTGAGCAAACATATGGAGGCAAAAGTACATCAAACTGTAGGTAAGGAGTTTATTTACCACAGATAATAGACTCAATTTACCTTACTATTATAAAGTTATCAGCAAGATTTTGGTGAAAACTTAGGTCCATTGGTTACTTATGGAATCGATGATGAATCCACGCCAGGGTGAGTAAATGTGTTTCATGTAATTGAAGAAGTCATTGTCCAACTAGATATTTTTATTAATCTTTACTATAGGCCTTCTACTCATGACTTTTGTGTCATCTATCTCTCTAGATGTGTTGCAATTACTTTTTTGTCAAGACGGATTTTTTTAAAGAACGATGATCAGCTGATGTAGGGAACTGTTTATATGTGGTCTATTGATTAGCACACTCATCTAAAATTGCTTTTCAATAGAAATAGTTGTATAAAATACCACTTATTTATCGTTAATATGATGAGGCAAAATAATATTTTAACTTGAATACGTACAAATTACATAAAAGATAATCTTTAGGAGTTAAGCAGTAGTTCACGCGCTTTCAATAATTTTAAATGTTGGCAAAGTCATGCCACAGTTTTACTGAACCATTTGATGATAATCTATGTCATGAACGTACATCAGTTGAAAGACTGGTTAAACGTAGAGAGCTATGGATGTCTGTTTTTCCCCTGTTGAAAACCCTTTGAAAGTACTTACTGACAACCAAATTTGAGATTGAATCCAGAATTCACATGCTCTCGGTGACTACAATATGTAACTGGTCTACTGGCTTTAGGTCAATCTACAGTACCCAAGGATTGGGGAATATTAAACGTAAATCTTTACCGCGTCTCCAGAGGGAGATAATTGATTGTCCATTTCTGGTAATATACTGAAAAGTGGGTATTCTAACTAAGTAAATATTTAGCAATTAAATAGGACCCAGTAAATCGATTATTTATGATGTATGACAATTAGTCAAGCTCTACGTAAAAGTTGAGAACTCAGTGTTAAGTTCTTGTTGTCTTCTACAATGAAATAATATCACTAGCTGCTTTCCTATTGTGTCTTATGGTACGTAGACAGCTACAAACATAAGAATGACTGAAGTCAAGCAAAAATATTGCAGTACAGTTAAATATAGACACTACTGGAATCAGCCATTTGTTAATAACTAGGCCTCAGTATTCGGAGTATTCTGATGTCCCAATCATTTGTTTAGAAACATTTATTAACATATCTTCAGTCCAGTAAATTTAATCTAGAATTAACTTGACATGATGCCTTTATTCCCTCTGCTTTTGCTCTTCATTTTCACTGTTCATTAAAACACCGTTATTCATTTTGGTTGCATTTCCATGACAATTTGTCTTCTTTCAAGAAATGCCTAAAATTAGTGGCACATCTCTTCGCTGCCAACTCATTCAAACTAGTCGAGTGATAGTCGACCAGGGTTTGAATGATTGATAGACTTCTTATGAAAATCAGTCAGATTTCAGACACATACAGTTAACAGTTAAGAGCATCTTATATAACTTGTTTCATTGTAAACGTTTTGAAGAAAATGCCATGAATCACATAAATCAATTCATACCACAAATCCTTTTACTTATTGACTGATCTTTTTCATATTTGTCTAATATCGTCACTTATTAAGCTAATTAAAAAGCTTACTTTGTGGAAGGAAATAATATTTTATAACCCGTTAAGTAGATAGTAAACATTACCTGAATACAGAAGTGATGAATTAGGATTTCAATGTAGTCTTTTTGATAACTCAAATACATCTTAATATCATTACGTTAACCAATATTATTTACGATTGTCTTTGTCTAATGGTTTGTCGTTATACTGCGTCTTATTCAGTTAGACTGCATGAAAATCATATATATCTAACATGTTATTCAAATCAACTTGACAAACTAAGTAATCAGTTTTAGCAGTTGCCAGATACAATTATGCATGTCTGGTTTGCTAGATTAGCCGAAGCATACTTTTTTTTCTTGGCATTAGTGATAAACTGAATCATTATTTTTTCTTACTTCCTTAAGCCTGTTACCGCTCGAGGACCTACATCAAAGTTCATAATTTCAAGGTCAATAAATTATCGAAAACGATAGAATTGCCTTTAAAGAGCTATTCAAAACTGTAAACAGTTCGTAGAACGAAAATATGACATGAAAAACACTTCAAACTAGCATTTACATTCATAAACTTATTCCATTTTCCTTACTTACAGAATATGATCGGAAATAGTTGAACTTAAAATCCAAATAGGCAATTGTATTACAGCTCATTTTAAGTTCGAGACGAAAAGTAAATTTCATATTTACGTAAAATTGGATTTTGTATTTTGGCATATTAATAAAGTACTGAAGTCTACTACTTACTTATTTACTCCTGTTACATATTGTGGAGAAGCATAGACCACCCATCAGCATACCCCATCGAGCTCTGTTCTGTACAGTCCTTTCCAGAAGCTTCCAACTGCAATTTATCCCTTCCTTGTCTGCTTCCAGTTCTCAAGACGGAGTATATTTTGATTTTCTCTTTACCGTTCCCAATCAGGATTCCATGTTAACGCTTGCTTCATGATGCAGTTTGATGATTTCCACAATGTATGTCCTATTCACTTCCAGTGTGTTTTCCTAACTACCTCTTCAAATGAAGTTGGTTTGTTCTCTTAAACAGTAAGCCGTTTCTGATGATATCCGACCAATGGACATTGAGTATCTTACGTAGACAATTGTTCATAAATACTTGTACATTTTTGAAGATGGTTGTGGTGGTTCTCTAAGTTTCAGTTCTGTACAGTAAAATTGTCTTGACGTTCATATTGAAGATTGTGATTTTGATATTGGTTGGCAGTTGTTTTAAGTTCCATATGTAGGGTGTCCTTTCTTCGCCAATCCTTGCCTTTTCGTTAGAGTCGGACCCTTTTTATTCGTCGATGATGCTGTCCGGATAAGTGGAATTTTCCACTTCCTTCAGAGTTCCTCCATCAAGTGTGATTGTGTTGGTATTATTCGTGCTGCATTTCAGGATCTTAATTTCTGCCCTATATGTGTTGAAGCCCATTGATGTAGAGGCTGCTGCTTCACTCGTTGTCTTCATCTGCATTTGTTGGTGTGTATGGGATAGAAGAGCTAGCTCATTTACAAAGTTCAAATCGTCTTATTGCATCCATGCTGTCCGTTGTATTCCGTGATTTCCATCAGTTGTGGAGGTTTTCACAATCCCGTCAACCATTAGAAGAAAGAGGAAGAAGAAGAGTGAACGGCCTTGTTTTACGCCGGTCCTCACTTGGAATGATTTTGTCAGCTGTCCACCATGCATGACTTTGCAGTATAGTCCATTGATTTCATTGATTCCGATGACCGATAAGTTGCATCACCTAATTTCTACAGTTATTTGATTAGTCCCCGCGGTCTCCCACATTATCCGAACATTGCATGTAGCTATATCAGTTGTTGCTGTGGTTGTTAGAGGGAGCATCAGCCTTGTGACTTTCGAAGAATCTCTGCTTTCACGATAAGGCATCATATTTCTTTTGAATAAAGATCCTTCAACTAGAAGAGAAGAATTTTATTGGTTTAGTTTGTTTGTTCTGGTTAACATTTTTAGCTGACTCCAACCCATCTCCTCTACGCGGTCTTGAAACTGTCGGTGGCCCCAGAAAAGCTATAAGAGGAGTTGAATCACTATTCAGCATTTGAAAATGATTTGAACATAGTTTGTAATTACATTGAAGTAAACAACTTTTTAATTCATTTTTCATAAGCTTTAACGGCACAATTTAAACGTATAGGTTCTGAGGTTAAATAGGTATGTGGTCAAAATTATTATTCTATTCACAAAATAAATATTTTAGTAAACGTATACAACATTAACTATTCTAATTTTAAATTTTTTTGTATTTTGTTTTAATATAATGCTTCATTTCTATTTTTCTCTTTCTTAGTGATAATAAACGTAAATGAAATTTTAAATGAGAGTATTTGATCACCCGCTCTCATCACTGTCGTCAGTTATTTTTTCTAGTAATTTGGGTGAGTAATACTTATATATATTAGGCATAATAATCTGTACATTGTTAAACTTCAAGTTTTATTACTCACGGATTAAAACTGTATTGATAATGTTAACTATGTTAGTGCAAAACTAATTAACAGTTATGAATAAGTCATATGGTCACATTTATTGTTTATCTACTAAAACATTTCATCATTCTGTGATATTATTCGCGAACTTTCGAATCGTTCTATCCTGTTTACCGGTAACTATCTAAAGCATCAAATAATATCTGTTCTACTGAATACATGAAAATTTAACATTTTCACACAGAATATTCTCCATTTATTATATTTGATATTAGTATAATCATTAATAATTGTCATATGAAAAAGCTTACAACTTGAGAAATCTCTAAGTGTTTTACTCAAATTGAATAAATACACGATGACGGTCATAAGAATTCATTAAACTTAATGATTAATAAAATGTTTTGTGAGAAGTAAACCAGCTTTAAATTCTATAGTTCAATGAAAGTATGAAACACTTTATTATTATTATTGAATGACGTGTATATGTTACTGACAAAACAATAAAAAAAGCAATCAAGAAATCTTGCATATAATGTATATAATGGGAATTTTTCAGAGATTATAATCTTTTATAGCAATTAGTCCCTTTTATAGATTTCAATAGAACAATAAGATGACGGAATTGATCTGAAAAATGTGATGTATTTGAACATGTGCCTAGATGGCTTCAAAATCAATGTATGTCAAATGATCAACGTGGGAGGTAGAAAACCAGGTTCATCGATAACGAAACATATAATTAAAACATCGCACAAAATTAACGCTAATACAGCTTTTAAAACGTTGTATAGAAATTGTCAAGTGCGAGTTCTTATGTTTATTGAAGCCTTGGCTATTCGTAAATTTCCCCCCCCCCCTTATATGTACAAAAATAATTTATCGTAACCTTGAAATTACCTTGATAATCCTTAAGTCATTCTATGGTCTAGGATAACGCGACAATTTCTTATTATTTCTCTCCTCTTTGTTACTTTTTTACTTGAACTTTCTTTTAATTAACCTTTATTAATTTTTATATAAAATGCCCTGACAAGTATGTGTGACAAAATGTATAGCTCAAATACATCACATTTTTCAGATCAACTCCATCTTCGCATTGTTCTATCAAAAATCTTTTATATCCATGTTTTTATTTTTAAGATTTTTTTTTTCAATTAATATTATGAATAGATCATTTATGAAAGTACATTTCATTCAAATTTTCTATATTTAGATGTACGAATTCATTCATAAATACAAAACTGAAAAACTTCATTTCTTTTCGAAATAATATTTACTACTTATTTTATAAAACTTACAAATATGAATGTTTTTTTTCTTTTAATTTTTATTTTTGTAATCATTATCTATTAAATGATCTATACAACATTGATTTTATTTCATTATTATAATAAAACCACATGTTATCCCTTAATTGGCAAGATTCATATTCTATCATATGAATAACCATATATATATATATATATATATATATATATATATATATATATATATATATATATATATATATATATATATATATATATATATATATATATAGCGAGAGAGAGAGTGAGTAGGAAAGAAAAGTAATAAAATGTAGAATATGTACATGTTTGTTAAAAGCAGATGATTCTTCTCTAAATTAAACCTTTACTGGAATTTTTTATTTTGTTCAAAATAATGTAAAAGTAGTTGATAAGAATAATGAATGATAAATATGTTTGATGATTAAGTAGCTTCTTCAAAGTTTCTGTATTCTAAACATGATAATTAGTCAAAGTGTTAAATTATGTCATGTAATATGATTTCTAACATGAGTAATTGCAAATCAAAAAGTACTTTAGTTGACAATGGTTGATTGTTATACTTCACTGAGTGAACATTTAAAATAGTATTTAACAATCTAGAATTGAAGTATTTTTTTCCTAATCCACTGAAATGTTCATAAACGTTATTAACATTGTATAATACATACTTATTTACTTAAGCCTGTTACCCCCCAATGGAGCATAGGCCACCAACCAACATTCTCCAACCCACTGTGTTCTGGGCCTTCCTTTCTAGTTCTATACAATTGTTGTTCATTCTTCTCATGTCTGTCTCCGTTTCTCGGCGTAATGTGTTCTCTGGTCTTCCGCTTCTCCTTTGGTCTTGAGAATTCCGTGTGACGGCTTGCCTTGTGACACAGTTCGGTGCTTTCCCTGAGGAAGGCACTTCCAGAGCTTCTTCTACACTGGGTTCTGATTTGTTCTCTATCACAGAAAAAACAATTCAACATTGTATAATATTACAAGCAAAGATGGATAGTGGCTAGCAGTGGAATCCAGGACGCGCGTTTCGCCCTATTTGGGACTCGTCAGCTGGGTGTACCTGAATCTCAGAGTTGATGTTCACTCCAGGACTCGAACCCAGTACCGTCCGCTTCAAACGCCATCGTGTTATCCCCTTAGCTACTGAGTCCTGATAGCCACTTGCTTGTGCAATGGGATAAAGTTTAATTCACTTGATATTGTTTTACTTGGATCTTCCCATTGCACGAGCAAGTGACCATCAGGACTCAGTAGCTAAGTGGATAACACGATGGCGTTTGAAGCGGACGGTACTGGGTTCGAGTCCTGGAGTGAACATCAACTCTGAGATTCAGGTACACCCAGCTGACGAGTCCCAAATAGGGCGAAACGCGCGTCCTGGATTCCACTGCTAGCCACTATCCATCTTTGCTTGTAATGCTTGTAAATTAAGGCAATATCGAGGCAATACGCACAGTATGCACATATGCCAATAATAGACTGATCAATTGCAGTCCTAAACATCAATGGGATGATTCAAGTAAAACAATATCAAGTGAATTATATAATATTTCCAACAAAAAAAGAGAATTAAACTGTATCTGTATATAAGAACTTTCGTTTAAGTTTGATCGAATAGTTTCATGGTATTTGGGTATTGAGTTGATTTGAGACATTAAAGAGGAAGAATGTATTTGTAAAATCTCAGCGATTGAATTTGAAATAAATCCAACGTTTTGCCTAACTATCTGGTCCAAGCTATTCCAAGGAATTTTATTCAAACATAAAATTTGTTGAATATAAATAAGTACATGGTTCACTGGTTAATTGTATACTAAATTTGTCATCCAATCATGATTAACAATGTTTAAAGTAGGTGTTTGCTTTAGTGAGTAAGAGACATGCGGTGTGAAACGAAAAGTGTGTTAGGATAACAGGTTGTGTGTATTCGTAAGTGGTGTGAGAAGAATGATAAATTCATGATAAAATACATAAAATCTGCAATGAAATTATTTCATCATAATTAGGTTAAGCACAAAGTAGAAAAAACGGATCATAAAACATTTAGAAAGAAGAAAATGTCCTAAGTGACTTGCAAAAATGAGAAAAAAACTGTTACTAAAAGATCTAAAGCATAATGGACTGTATAAGTCAGTCTGAGAGTAGTCGAATAATTGCTAGACTAGTCAAGAAAATTTTCCTATTTTCTTGAATTTACATCTCTTGTCCTCCTCTTTTACGAACGGATCTTAATAACACCTTATCTGAAAACTAGTTTGAAGGTTATTCATTCAGCAATTATAAAAGAAATAGAATTACCATAAGCCTTGCTCAGAAAAACATGTCAGTCTATAATTGTAATTGCTTGACAACTTCGCCAGAAAGATTATCTCTTTTTTATCAATACAATTTTTAGACGTTATGCATTTAAAAACAACCAACAGTTAATAGACAGTCTATAGTAATAATAGCCGAAATGTAACTTCCCTTTTTGGTATATGTTTTCATGGAGTTGTAAATAGAACTAAAAACATTAGGTAGCATGTAAAATCATCCGCTAATAAAAATGTTGACGTCATGAACAGAGGGTTAGGTAACACAAGCGTAGCCGTGTAATTTCATGTTTCACTTGCACCAAATTTTCATATAGCGTATGTTTTGGTGTACTTGTTATTCATATTAAAATCTTTAGGTTGTTGGCAGGATATTTTGGAGCCATCTCCTTCCTGAAACAAGCACTGATAAGTTCCCAATATTTCTGTTATAATATATTACATCTAATCAGTTGTTATTACGCGATACCCTAACTGCGTTTTCATTTGACTTGTCTCAGCAATTGAAACACTAATCGGATCAATGTTTTGCAGGTAGCATATACAGCACAACTTATACACAACATTGCACTTATGAAAAAAACCTCTCATTTTAAATATAAATAGAAGTAGATAATCGATCCTTTACATGTATGGTGCTAATGCAAGATATGACTAAAATTTTATTTTATAGAATATCATGGTAAAATATGAGAACCATAAATTGAACACTTCATTTGCAGATTTCCATCACTTGTTCTTTACATTCTGTATGATTCCTTCAGTTCACAATTCTTCTGTTTTCTTCCACTTTCGATTTTGTTACACACTAGGTATGTCGACAGATATAAGTAGCATAAACCACAGTAATACAAAATCGTATATTTTATTACAGAATGTTAATTAACTCGTGATGAATTTTATTTAGCAATACGACTGCCATCACAGCATTTAAACTTTATTATTTATACATAAATATTCCCCTACAGTTAATACAGTCATTTTTAACATCTTTTTCATTCTTACTATTTATGTTGTATATTAAAATCATATTTCGTCCTACTTTTGTGTTTTTGTTAACATTTTTATCGTGTCTGTTCACTTTTAACCAAGTTTATTTGTTTACCTTTCTTTTTCACAATGATTTACTACTTGATTATGACTTCATTTTTATTGCTGTTAACTTATAAAATCACTCTGCAAGAAGCTTATTAGTCTTTTCACTAGAAATATAAGTTGACATAATATAATATTTGACTTCAATCATTTCACTTCCACCTTAAATTCAATGGGTATAGTTGGAATTATCAATTATCTCTCTACTTTAGTCCTGGATATATTTCTTTGTAATTTGGATGATTTTACCCTACCTATGTGCTAGTCTGTGCAACCAAACATTGTGAGTTTTAGTATCATGAAGTTTATAGGTATACATACATACTAAAAAACATTAGCGTATTGTTGATAGTAGCTATATATTTTGATACCAACAATTCTAAATTTATTGTTGTTGGTTAAATCAATTACGGATCAAAATCAACTTGTCAGCATGCTAATTATTTAACAATCATTTCTTATGAGTTCATCATAAAATGACGCTAATGCATTTTATTGTTGGAAAAAATACATGCCGTACACTGAAAACTATAATCTTTTGTATTATGACTAGTGGGGTTGTACTTTACTGGATGCGAAGCATTTACTCACCGAAGACAGTTGGAAGCGTTCGCGCATTGTTCTGAATTGATTGAAGTTAAGCAATAATATAAATGAATGCGGGATCAGTGACTTGCAGGTTAACTCGATAGTGCGCGGAAACGAAAGTGGTACGTTTGATTGTTGTGTGCAAGATCATGCGTGTTCACTGATGAGGGATGTAGTAGGAAGAACAAGTGTCCAGACAGTGCCTCCAGATTCTCATTGATGGTCTAACATTGATCGGTTCATAATTTCTTTGAAATTCAACAATCATTACATCATATTAATATGTTTCTTCAGAAGTAGGTAAAATGTACCATAGACTCTACAGTTACTTATAAGTAGTGTAAGACAAATTGAAAAAATGTTGGTAGATAGTATACATCTCGATCTACGTCACTGGAAAACAATAGTTACTGCATTTCTATGAGAGACAGAATGCCAACTTACACAACATTGGTGGGCTTCAACTGCTAGGAAATATTTATGTTGAAAACTTTTCACGATACTAAATGTAGCATCAAAAGTCTTGTACACATTTTGAAAATAGTTTGCTAGCGAGCTATAAAGGCTGAGGTAAATTATGGTGAGGATATGCAAAAATGCCAGTAAAAAAATAATAATGTATGATGTGTATTGGTCAGATTGATAAATAATAGTTTGCATGGATGTGAAGTCAGAAATACGTTTATTAATTCTCGTAATAATTGTAACTTTTAATAAACATTCAGCAGCTCAGTGCTTGTTTTCGATTATCAAGGATTCCATCCATAATTTTCTGAAGGCATTTTGGTGACTCCCATATTAATTATGCGGAATATTCAAGATAATGTATTTCGATTCCGCTTATGTCTTGATGAAAATCTAGCGTTTATTTCATATATCATCATCATTACAATTGGTCGAGAATGTAGATATAAGCATTATCAGATTCGGGGATACTACTTAAAAT